GCTGATCAGAGAATAGCAGCGATCTAGGCTCTCTGGGCTGTCAGGTTATATGTGGTGGCTCATGGGTCCTTGGCTGATATATTTGTTCGTGTTGCTGGATACCTCTTCTCTAGGCGGCTCTGGATAACCTGGGCCCTTCATGGTGGAAACAAAGGCCTGCGGATGAATAGTATTGTCCTTTCTGCATAACTTAATCGTCTAAGCCTTCATCCTCATCCCTCCCTCTCTCTCTCACGCAATGAACACTCTGCGCTCCCTTCTGAGTCTACTAGTAGGTTATTGCCCTTGTCCCCATCTCTCCTTCAATCCTAGTTATTGAACTCGGCCCTATATGGTCTACAGTTTAATAAAAACACTTCGGGTTGCATAACTCGTCATCCCTGCTCACTGATGTACCAACATTAAATAGCCGCAATATCCTGACTGTGCAAAGGTAGCGTAATCAGTTGTGTCTTAATTAGGCACTGGCATGAACGGGATCTAGGCCATCTTCTGTTATAACTAGGCACCCTCAACCTCACCCCCGTTTCGATCATTTTCTGCTTGAAATTATGCAGGTGCCAGCGTGCCTTGAAAACGAAAACTTGCTGCTCTACTGCACGGAGGCTGTTGCACGCCCACGTCAGCCGTGAGTCAACGGTCGAGTAATTTTCCTCAGTTCGCCGGTGTGTTGCACCGGCTACGTATGGAGGGGTACATAGCCTCGCCGAGTTTCGCCATCGCGAACCTTATCTCTGTTAAAACGTTCACTCGGCTTCAGACTGTTGACCTGGCGAGTTTCGCTGGTGAACAAGTTTCCGGACGCTATCAAAGGTTCCGACCTGCTGCTATTCTCTTGACTTTACCAAAATAGCGACGAACCTTTTGACTGTAGTCACTGGCGATCATGGAACTCGCAGTTTTTGCGACGAGTACTCGGGACTCGTTTCAAATCGTACGATCTATTAGCACACATTGCTCAGGTCAGCAACGTTCGAAGAGATAGAAGAAGAAGAAGAAGAAGAAGAAGACGACGAGCATCAACCTGATCAAATCAACTTCCAGACCGTTTCCCTCACAGCGACTACCCTTGCCTCCGGAAAGACAAATTGTCGTTTGTTCGAAGGTACAGTTGATTTGAAATGCTGCTCTTTGAAACAGCAGATCGCAGATTTTTCCTCAAAGACGTCGATAGACGTTGTTTTGCCATTGTCTTCCGAGGCTATGGCAACATGGCCTTAGCAACAGGATATTCCAGACCCCAGATCCCAGATTTAGGGTATCTAACGTTTAGAAACGGTACTTTAGAACAATATAAGGCAAATTTCACTGTTGCGACAAAGGTCATATCCGTCTTCGCAACAATATCTGCCTCAACGAAGTGTTACCGGATTTTGTGTCGTCCTTCGACACGTTTGCTGCAAATGCAGCATTCCCAAATGAGAAAGGTTTTGAATACATATCCATTTTTGGGCCGTTCTATCAAACTAAGCCAGGCGCCAGTCTCTGACTTCATCTGGTTGCTTTCCTAGGCCGGTGGTCGTCAACATCTTTGCGGTTGTGATCAAGTGGCACCTTGGAGCCCTGATGATGCTGGACAGGCAGTGGTGTTGGAAGATATCTGAAAAATCGGCTTTTTTATTACATCAGGATGACAGACATTTCGAGATTGTACATGAGAACTGCGAACGCGGATGCCTTTCTATTGGTGATCTTCATATCTGTTCTTATAGTCCAATCCTTCCATATATTTTACAGCATGCCATAATTCGACTAGGTCAGTCCGAAACACATAATCACCTTAGAATGAATGTTGCCATCGTTAACTAATACAGTCAACGTAATATTTGACAGTAGACTTAAATCGGTGAAAGTTTTAAGCGAAGGATAACCGGCAGTTGAGATATTTGTGCAGTCCTGCTATTCATCAGTTATTAATCTTAAACCGAATAAGTTTTCTATGATGGTTGTAAGTTGTTAGCTTTCCGAAGTGATAGGTGTGTTTCCAAAGGAAGTTGCTTGTCGATAAAGGCGCTGTTTTAGATTAAGAATTAAGATTTAATAAACGTTTATAATTTGCTTTTTCACGTCCATACAGAACCAATGTTCTATTTAGGTAAATGTTTGCTTCTTCTTTATTGCTTCTTCTTCTTCTTCTTCTTTATTGCTTAAGTTCTTTAGCGCGTTATCAGTAGTGGGCATTTACTGTTGATTCGGCCTGTCATTTCAAGGTGGGAAAGCATTTTTAGGACAGTTAGGCCATTCTGAGGTCCTCCTCCGAAAAAAACTGATGACCTATGACGAATTGGTACAAGAGTCATGATTTCGGTAAGGGGGAAATCTGCTAAATTGGTGTTAAATTTGCCTTTACGTTGGAACGGTAGTGTAGAATACTGGTAACTGCAAAAGTTAAAATAGGAAAACGGCGGATGACCAATATTTTCGTGTAATGGCCTCAACCATGGACAGATAATCGCACAAACTTCTGTTTGTCTGTTCGTTGGGCTCTGATAACTTGCCAAATCCGGCGTAATCCGGTGGTTGCGAGTTTGAATCCTTGTGATTGGCTAATATCCATCTGTATCGACCATGCAGTTAATCGCTTCGTATTACCTCAGAGTGAAAATTTGTGTCTGAACACAACACCAAGTTTTGGCCGAAGTCATTTCGAGGAATACCATTCTGTTGTACGCTTCTGTGC